CGATAATCTCCGATACCGTGCAACCCCCTCCCCCCTTCTTTACTGTCGGAAACCTACCGCCAGCAGTTTTTTTTTCTCCTGAACCCTCCAGACCACAAAAACCAACACCAACTATATTTTTATTTTTCAGTAGTTTTTTTTCACTGTTGGTCGGATTTGTGTTTAATCTCTTCCCTTGACAATGCCTGTAAACTGGCATTGAATAAATTAAATTAGATCAGTTAGTATATTTGGAGTAAACGACAAAAGCCGTGTAAACTCCATTTAGAGGGTACAATATAAGGGAAAATAATTAAATTGCAAAGCTTTTGCTTCTAGTTAAGTAAGGAGAATTCATAAATCTAGTAATGTGACATAAAGGCGGAACGGGTATTTTAATTGCGAAATAATTTCGAAATACTTTGTTCACCTCATTCGGACTGAAATTTTCTATATTGTCTAAAATTTTAGCACAAAATAGGATCTGTTGAAATCTTGTTAGTAGTATAGTTATAGTCATTTCAGTAATCCATCAGATCAGGCTTCAGCATTTCGGGTTGCCTTTCAGCAGGTAAGCATCCTGTTGTCTCTTGAACACGTTCACGATAGGGGAATTAACAGCAAACTCCGGCAGAGCGTTCCATTGGCGAATGGCCCTCTGTGAGAAAAAGGAGGAGCGTTGATTTTGTGTGGCACAGTTCCCTTTTAAGCTGGTAATCATGTCGTCTGAGATTGGACTTGGGTGCCATCTCAAAAAACGTTTCCCAGTCGACATCCAGATTATGTCCTTTTACCAACTGGAACGTTGCTCTGAGGTCACCTCTGTCCTGCCAGTAGTGGAAGGGATAGAGATTCATTGCCGTCAGGCGCTGCTCGTACGTGAGGTTTTTGAGGCCATGAACAGCCTTTGTAGCACGCCGTTGTACACCTTCAAGGATATCCGTATCCTTCGAAGCCACGGCCGCCAAGCCTGTACCGCATATTCCAGGTGCGGCCGCACGAATGTCCCGTATAATTTGCCAAAAGCATCTTTATTCAAGTGTATAAACGTTCTGCGTATCGCGCGCATAACGGACATTGCTCGCGCACGCCTTTAGAACACTGCGTGGTGACACTTTGATCGTCTTTAATGAACACACCGAGAGCTTTTTGCACATCTACGGTTTTAAGTGGTTGATTGTCCAGGAGATATTGTCGTGGGGGTGCATTTTTTCTTCGCCTCGCTGATACTACGTGCATTACTGCACATTTTTTGACGTTGAATTTCATGCACCATTTCTCGCTCCATGCGTGCAAATTCTCCACGTCCTTTTGCGGTATCTTGACGTCATCTTCATTTTTTATCGCTCTCCAAAGTTTAAGATCGTCTGCAAAGAGCTCTATTTCCGATTTCACTTCCCATAGTAGGTCATTTACGTAGGTAATGAATAGGAGCAGCCCAAGTACTGACCCTGTGGGACTCCACTCGTAACAGGTGCCCATTCTGAGCAGTAGCCGCCCGCAGTGACTTTTTGTCGTCGTCCATTTAGGAAATCTTGAATCCAGTTCAGAAGATTTCCTCTTATCCCTACTACTGACAACTTTTGAATGAGGCGCTTATGTGGGACGCAATCGAACGCCTTGCTGAAGTCGAAGTAAATGACATCAACTGGATGTCCTTCAGACATGGCCTTTGACCAGTGTTCGAGTAACGACAGCAGGTTTGTGAGGCACGACCGCTTTTCGCAGAAGCCATGTTGAACTGAGGCGATGTGACAGCGGAAAGTATCGAACGATGTAATAGATTTTTTAACTACTTTTTCCATCACTTTGCAGCAAATACATGTCAAACTAATCGGCCGGTAGTTCGTGGGACATAGCCGTGATCCTCTCTCGTGGATAGGTACGACGTTTGCCAACTTCCATGTGTCAGGTAGTTTGCCAGCTTCCAGCGATTTTTTGAAGATTATAGAAAGTGGCTCTGCTAATTTTTTGGCTAGCTGACGCAGGAGTACACATGGAATCTCATCTGGTTCAGGTGACTTGGCCGGATCCAGCTTATTTAGCTCTCGTACAACTAACTGCGGTGTAGAAAATACTGTGCTTAAAGTGGTTGGTTGGCGGGCAGTGGAAGAGAGACCATCAGGCCACAGTGCTCCGAAAGATCAAGACTCATAGATTTCGATACACCCAGATCCTTAATATCCCCAGGCACATTTATGCCGTGACAGTCAGTACTTATTTGAGGTTGGTGGCCAACGCCAACCACCATGACTGAGCATTTATGGCAAGAAAGAGAAAGGCGCCATGTGCGGCACTACTGAGCAAAGGCCTGTAGGTCGCTAGTTGGGAGTTTAAGCACGATGTCACGATCTGCCGGCTTGTCTCGATAGGCAACTTTCAGATCCTCGGCCTAGATGAGGGGTTCACCATTCTGAAATAAATCGGGTACATCATTAATAAAAAGGCAAAATAAAAGCGGGCCGAGTACACTGCCCTGAATGAATCCACTCCTCACACATGTGTGATTGGAGGTAGCATTGGAAATCTTGTGTACGAGTGCCCACGTAGGAGGATATAAAATTTTGCCACCTATTCCGAGAGAGGACAGTTTCGAGAGACGAAGAGCATGGTCAACACGATCAAAAGCCTTAGTGAAATCGAAATATACTGTGTAAAGTCAAAACCATTGTCCCTAGATTGGAGAACATAGTCAAAGAAAGAGGGTTGACAGGTGTCACAAGATCGAGCTTTGAGAAATCCATGCTGAGCAGCACTCAGTAAGTTATTCGCTGTTAAGTGACACATCATCTTATCCTTGATCAATGTCTCTAAGATCTTCGAAACTGAGGGAGGGTGTTTATTGGACGAAAGTCATCAAATGATGTAGATTTGTCATGCTTAGGAATGGGCAAAATGTGTGATTCATTCCGCAGAGGTGGATAGGTTGCGCTTTCAAAAGCGGAGTTAAATATCTTGCATAAGGGAGGTGGGAAAATTGCATTTGCATCCGTCTTTAGAATGCTGACTGGGAGACCATCGTTTCCCGGACAATGAGACTGACGAAAACGCCGAATCGCAAAAGTCACATCCCCCAGAGTGAAAGTTATCGTTTCTAGATCTGTCCCGGTCAATGCCTGGATGGTCGGAAGCGGAGTGGTCGAGTCTTCAATAAACGTTTTGGACAGGAAATCATTGAAGCTATCCGCGGTCAATTGGGCATCATCTATGGGATTTCCGAGATCGTCTCGAAGGATGGGATACTGCGTCTTTCTATGAGTTCGTATTTTTCTAGAGAAAAGTTTCGAGACACTTAACGAATGGTTTTCGGTAAAGTGGACCTCTTCAACTAGCTGTTTTTCTTCAGACAATCTCTTAGCTCGATCAAAAATATCACAAATCAAGGGCAGAACAGAAACATCGTTCTGAAGATGGAAATGACGATAAAGCCTGCGCAATCTGCGACGAAAGGGTAAAGGTAGGAAAACCTCATCCCCAACATTAATAATTTTCTTACGGGGGACAAAACGAGAAATATGCGGATCCAAAATATTGTACAGTTTTGATGTGCAAACATTTAGGCTGGATACCAGTGTCGCAACACTCCGATTCGCGGCGAACTGGAGTGTTGCGACAAAGGTATCCAGCCATTTAGTGATCGAGCGATGATTGACAACGAAGAATGTGTGAAGCCGTATACTTTCTTGCTAAGATGCCTGAGTAAACATTTGAGACTGAAATTATTGCTGTCTGGCTGTCCTCCGCACCGGATTTTTTAGAACTGGTCTTTCCTTCTACTAAAAAAAATTACGTGTGGGACGTGCAAAAGAACTAATGAAGATATTTTAGCTGCGCCGGCTCCTCGGAGCGGCACAAGGTCGACCAAAACGCTGCAGAACAACTCCTTTGTATAATCTGGTAGGCAGTTCTCCATAGTTTTTCCCTATACGGCGCATATAATTAACGCAATTGTCGATGTTTCTAAGCCATAAGACAATCTAAAAGAACAGTTGCGAATGAATTGAAATCCTCGGAAGACGGATACTTGCAAGGGAATTTGAAGCGAGCAGAGAGACTTGCCTTTATGGTCTGCCAGTGTCGCTTTCACGATCTCTCTACCCACATCTGCATATACATAAACATGCATATATACCACAAAGCGTCGATGAGAACTAATTGCTTTATATAACAAAGCCCATGGGACTCGACGCAGATTCTGAAGTCTGGAATTTAGCACCTTTGACGCCGTGATGCATTTCACTGAGGCGTTCTTCAGTCGCGAAAGACGAAGTGCGTTGCCCGCTTTCCTCGTCCACCCTCTGATAAATTTTACGGGAGTTGCGCATGGTTTTAATTGGCTAATGGACGATTGTGAACTGGATCTTATTGCCAAGGAACTGGAGGCAGATCATACTGAAGCTCTCAAGGATATAGACCGTGAGCTTGAGGCGAAAACGTCGACGTTATCCGTTGATGATTATGAGAGGATCCAAAAGGTTGGCCAAGGAACATTCGGCGAGGTTTTCAAAGTTCGACATAAAACGTCCAAGGAAATATTTGCATTAAAACGCCTCAAAATAGAAAAAGAAACCGAAGGAGTAAGCAACACTTGTATCTGACTTTGTAGTTCCCAATCACTGCTCTTCGAGAAGTTCGCATACTTCGGTCATTAAGCCACAAAAACATAGTTTCCTTGCGGGGAATATGTCACCGGAGAAGTATTCATTGCCATTTTTACTAATACCTCATAGGCTCTGGGACTAACGGTTATCGATACGAGTTCTACCTCCTGTTCGAATTTTGCGACCATGACCTTGCCGGCCTCCTGAGCCAGCAAGTTGAGATTTCCCTTCCGGTAAAAAAGGGCATTGCAAAACAATTACTGACAGGGATCTGTTTTCTACACAGGTGTTGGTCTGGTTTGTTCTCTAACTGTTACTTGGGCTTATGGCCGAATATCATGTTTTTTTTATAATTGTGCTCACGAACTCAACTTGTGGATGCCGATAAGGCGTATTTTCCCCCTCACACTACTTCGAAAGCAGTGCCTTTCGTTTCAAGCGGTTCCTCTAGTTGAAAGAATTCTTATGTCTTCCGACGTAGGATAGGTGTTGGCACTGCCATACGGTCACAAAGTAGCACGCAAAGCATTAACTCACTCAAAAGCTAAGATGGCAAAGACGGTGAAACCTGAGTCGAGGTTAATAAATGCCTATTCAGACATTTATACGTCGGGCTAGCCCTGCAGTTGAAGATATAAAATGTGTTCTAATGTTCCGCGGTCTAATTCTAATATTGGATATGCCCAGTGATACCGCAGTGACAGAATAAGCGGAAGAAATCTGCATTTGTTTGCTCAGATGACTTGAGCCAGGTCCTTCCGTCATCTCCCGAAGATGACGGCAAAGTCGGTCTGTTTTGGCTGAAATAGCGACCTCCATGAAGCAGGCCTCGAGAGTTGGTAACTCTCGAAAGCTCTGCCAAGTTAGTGGCAATCCCTCTGAACTGATTAACTCTGCTCGCGACGTTAATGGCGGCTTTATTGCTGACAACTCGACCAAGGCCGAGCACTGGCGTGATCACCTCCATCACTATCTCAATTCCGATACTCAACCCATCACGCCCTTGCTCTACTCCGCAGCGGAATCTTATCCCTCTTCAACCTATGCTGCCATGCGACCCCTCCCCCCATGAAGGGGAAGTCGCCGATGCCGTACGAAGGCTACGCAACAACGGGGCATCCGGAGACGACGACATACCTGCTGAAATCTGCAAGTCCTGTGTCAACACTGGTGCCCTGGTTCCATGAAGTGATTGAACATGCGTGGAGAGACGAGGTTGCTCCTGATGTCAGGGGATCAGGCATCCTTGTACCTGCTCTCAAGAAGGGAGACGAGACAAGATGCCACAACTACCGCGGCGTAAGCCTTATCAACGTTGCTTCGAGGTCTTCGCTGTTGTCCTTTTCAGGCGTTTCCAGGCTGTACCTGACCCTAGAACGAGACTTAACCAAGCCGGATTCCGCGCGTGGCGTGGATGTGCGGACCAGATATTCACACTGAGGCGAATTCTTGAATTCCGTCTTAGCTACCAGCAAACGACGGCCGTCTGTTTTGTTGACTTTGTTGTCGCGTTTGATTCCGTTCATCATGAGTCCCTGTGACGGATATTGACACTGGATGGTGTACCGCCAAAAATCATCACCATAATCAGGACCCATCACCATTCCACCACTGCTCGAGTTCTGGTCCATTTAAATATTTCCAAACTGTCCGGTATTCGGTCTGGCGTTCGACAAGGTGCTATCCTCTCGTCCATTCTGTTCAACCACACTATTAATTGGATTCTCGGGAGGGCCCTACACGATGATGACGGTGTTGAGTTTGCACCCGGACACCGATTGACGGATCTCGACTGTGCCGATTATATTGCCTTACTTGCTTCAAGTTTTGGCGATCTGCAATCTATGGTGTCACGAGTGAACGAGATCACTAAATCGGTCGGTTTATCCATAAACGCTGGGAAGACCAAAATGTTTTCAAGCTGCATCCCCGACCACGAGAAAGCACCTCTCAAGATCGATGGCTGTCATCTTATAGACGTAGGCAGTTTCAAATACCTCGGGGCGGGACAGCTGCCATATGGACAGTAAGGGCGACATTATCTACCGAATAGGTGCTGCCCGCCGGGTTATCGCAAGCCTTTGAAAACTCCTATGGATCCGACGCGACATCTACATCGCGACGAAGATCCGCGTCTACTGTGCATTCGTCCAGTCTGTTCTTCTCTATGGTTGTGAATGCTGGGGTTTGCGCGTAGAGGACGAGCGAAAATTAGAGGTATTTGGCCACCATTGTTTGTAGACCCTCCTTCGAGTGAAACACATCAACATTGTCGCAAACGAGACAGTCCGCACTCGCTGCGACAACATCGCAAGGATAGCCCAGACCATCCATGAAAGAATACTGAGGTAGTTTAGACACGTTCTTCGTCGTCCATCTCAGGAATTCGGTGTTACTGCCCCTGATCCGACACCGTTACTCACCTGGAGACGTCGAAGGGGGATTGACTCAAGACCTAGCTTGACACAGTTAGTCAAGACATGGAGGTGGTTCTTGGACCTTCGGTATTCGGTCTCCGTTTTTGGCGAAGAGGATGGGTTGAACTGTCCAGATCTGCTGCCGCGGATCGTCTCGCGTGGAGAGGTGCTGTCCGGGACATCATCGAGGCCTGATTGCAGCCGTACCAAGTACAAATAGTGGATGGGTTATTAGTAATACCAACTCGGTGTACAAGTGCCTCACTCCAAGTCGGCCTTTGACTGGTAAAATATTCTCTTGCGCAGTGCAAATGATTCAGATTCGTATGTCTGTCTTTCAGTTCGTCTTCATTCTTTCACGAGTCTTTTACATGGACTGTATCCCTTTTTACTTTTCGTTGATGTCCTGTTTCCTATAGTTTCTTAGTCGATCACAGACATATTTTGTAGGAATAACATCCTCCACCGTGATTTGAAGGCTTCCAACATCCTTATCGATCGGACCGGTACCTTGAAAATCGCCGACTTTGGCCTTGCCCGACTAACAATTGCTCCCTCAGCACCTGATCGCAGAGTGTGCTACACTGGACGCGTAGTTACATTGTGGTATCGGCCTCCTGAAATCCTCCTGAATGATCGGTGCTACGACCGACCAGTTGACCTGTGGGGTGCAGGATGTATCATAGCAGAACTCTGGACCAAATGCCCACTAATGCAGGTAGGTATGTCTTTGCGAGGCGTCTTTGTCTGGATTGTGTTTTGTCTTCTCTGACGGTTCTCGACCGGAGACCGTTTGTTTCACTGCTAGCAAATTTTGATCAAGAATGGGCCGGTTATTTCGGTATCTCTAAGCATAAAGTGACATTTTTCGTTCAGAAAACCCCATCACGCACCGAAATAAATTTTGGGCGCTTTTTCGCCGAGTCAGGTCTTCAAGAAAATCCCGTAAATGTACTTTTATTTTTTTTCTGAATATGAGACTCAAGTCCCACTTATTTTCAGGCATGTGAGTCCACTTTAAACACCAGACCTCGTCAACTTGCTGCGCAGGTCACAATAAATTTGGAAAGATGGGTAATTAGTAAGAGATGAGCGACTGTTAGGAAAAAGCACGTGTGCAATCATCGTGTTTCTTCAACGTTGAGCGGGTTTTGTTTTACCTTGCGCCATGGGTAGGGTGATGAGCATTTTCCAGCACCTCTTGAAATGTGTTGTTGTTTTAAATTATTGGCGATGTGATGCAGTCCGTTTTAATCTCAAAATGTCACACGCCAACCAAAGCCCAGCCCTACTCTCCACTGCACCGTGACCTGTCCTCTGGATTGACTTCTGTCTTATATTGTCCCTCCATGACAAAAGTGTATTTGGGATGATTTTAGGGTGACACGGAAGTAAACCAGCTCCGCCTCATCATAAACCTATGCGGTTCCTTCACGCCGGCTACATGGCCTGCCGTAGAGAAGCTAGAGGCTTTCAGAAACTCAAAGCTTCCAATGGATACAAAGCGCACGCTCCGAGAAAAGCTTGCACCCAAAATTCCCTGTCAGTCGGCTCTGGAGCTTATCGACAAATTACTTGTATGTGATCCTAGCAAACGGCTAGATGCAGATCAGTCTCTTGCCCACGAATTCTTCCAAGAGGAACCCCTCCCGGGTGATCTCTCCTGCCTCTCCCAGAGTGGCATCTCCTTCCTCGAGTACCTTGGTCAGGCTAATCGGTCGCGCTCCGCCGCCGCAGTAGCTGCCCATATGAACAATTTTCGTTCCGCCGGTCCTCAAAATTTCCGTGGCCGCGGGGGTGCTTTGCCTGGAGGCTTGAGTGGTGCGATGAACGGTGCTGCCAATGCCTTCCGCTACCGCGGCCTTCCGCCCGATCCGGATAATAGCAACATCAATTTTGATCGCATTTACTAAAATCAGCTGATGTTGTAGCGCCGATCATTGTCTTTCGCTCTTCCCACCTCTCCTTGACTTCTTACCCGCTGCATTTCAAAAGGTCTGCAAAATTTGCCCCACACACAAGTTGTGTGTGCGTGTGATGCTTGTTTCCCTGCCTATTCTCCCTTATTTTCTAGTCACCAAACAAAAACGTCTTTTGTAAGTGGTTGTGATATGCACAAGAGGGACAAAAGTCTTCCTGTATTTTAATTTTGGACTAAATCATACTTTTCAGCAGCGCAGCCACTGTGTGCACATGTGGAGAAGTCCATGATTGCGTACTATCCCTGAGGTCCATACATACACCCCGAAGACCGTTCGTGGATGCGAACTCGTTTCTACACCACGGTTAAGACTCAGTAGCTGTGAGGCAAAATGAATGAAACTGGCAAACCGTTTAACAGTCCTGATCAGAGAAACTGTCTAGGAAACAAAGGAAAACAACGCTGGTAGGGCCACTGAGAAGGTACGGTGATCCTTCTGGCCTCTTATATCAACAACAGACCAAGAGTATGAATTTCTGTTTAAGGTAGTGGTATCCATCGACTGCAGGATGGGGCGTGGCCTTCATTTGGACATATAGCCCGACCCGAGAACCCATACCTAGGAAGAAAGTGTCCTTAACGAAAATGAGGGAGATTGGAATGACCATTTTTAGCCAATTTGAAAGCAGCTGCCACCCACGTCACAAGTCGCGGCGACGTGGGGGTTTGCGCCTGATCTTAGTTGGTCATTGGACTGGAGTATTCAAAGTCACATGGGAGTGGCCCTTAATGCTAGTGTCTGGTTCAGTAGTTGGGGGACCCGAGTTATGGTCTTTCCTGTCAGCTGCGTCCATGTCGGTTCTGCGTAGTGGAATGGGCAGGGGTGACCATTAAGCGGGCTTAGCTCGTGCTTTGTAATAGGATTGAGTGAGGGACGTGGCAGCATACTCCATCAACTTCTTTCGGGGGTTTGATGACTCACTCGCCAACTGTCGGCTGCCCTCTGCGCATGTGAATTTTTGCATACTCTCATTGCCACCTCATCTGGAAGCGTCGGGTTTTGCTTCCCTAATGGCTTCATGTATCAAAGGCATCCTCGCGTCGTTGCTTATCGAATCCTTCGATGACTGTTAGACTCCGCGGCGGGGAACCGTGCGAGTTGATTGACACTACGAATGGGACTCCAGTGTTACTGACAGAGTGCACGGAATAGGACGATGGACAGTGTTTGATGCCACAGGGAATGTGGGAATCCCCATTCAAGGCTGTGAAGATGCCTACAAGCAGGAAAGTTGTTTTCTGTCTTCGTGGTCGCCGCCAATCATCGTCAAGAGAACGGGCAGTAATAATCGTATTCCTAGCTCAGAGTCTGGGTCAGTGAGGTGGAGCTACGATTTCTGCGCACGATCAGCGACGTCTCGCTTGGTCTCTGCATGACCCACAAGTACTTTAGTCAATGCGTGCGCAGTACCAGCCCCGCGCAAGGTGCGCTGTCTTCACATAACACCACAAAGGAGAAGCAACGGCTCTGACATTCAGTCCTTTAGGGCGCGATTGCGGTCTAGCAACTCGACTGCCTGAAATTTCGACTGTCACGTGCGACTACCGCCAACACTGTGGGCGGGGCGCTGGTGAATTAGCTTATAGTGACACAGAATTACGCGGCGCCCCCATACCCGCCCTCCTCAACAGTCCGCCTCCGATGGAAGAGCAACGTTCACAAGCCCGGAGACGTGGGTGTAGAGCTAAGCACCTCCTCTACCTGCGCCACACACGGCCTGGTCCCAGCTGCATGCAGCACATCGCAGTAGGGGCAACATGAATCTAATGTGCGTAAGGATGCCACATTGCAGAAAAGGAGGGCTGAGTTACCCCCGTCAGGCGGCAACCTAAGACCATGAGCGTATCCAAACTACTACGACCTTCAATCCGGGTGACAATAGGGAAGAGGTTTGACCTCAGTAGATAGAGGCCCGTATTCTGTACTTACCGGTGAATTGGTAAGCGGGAGCAAGTTGGCGGCCGCACGTAAGGCGCAGGCGTCCGTATGTCTTGCCTGTGGGCATGTCCGCGTCAGCCTTGGAATTCTTTGACTACTTTGGACATCTCCGATTTGCCGAGCACAACGCAGAGTCTCTCGGATTCAGGGATTGGCTAGCCGTGATGGGAGCATCATAGGGGGTCTCGAGGTTTCAGACGAACGACGTTCAATTATGCGTCGGACAAGAAGTCAGTGTTACGGTGGACGCCGGGTGTTGGGTCACTGCAGCCTTCCGAGCCGCGACTAATAGTCTGTCGTGATAGATTCAAACGCATCAGATTCACTATAGTGAGGAATGCGCTGAAGGTGCCATGGACACTAATTCCCCACTGTCGGCCCACTCTTCCCTCCGCGGTGCGCCAATCGGCTGTCTGGGTCACTCAGCCGACTGGTGATGGAATTGGGCGCAGTGGTTGTCAAAGCTGGACAGCTCGTCTGCGCGCGACCTGATCCCTGTTTCACATACCGGAGTGCTTCCCACCCAAGTGAGCTGTTCGTGTTTTGACATGCGACCGCACGCCTGTCGTGATTAAGGGACATAGTCTTGTGGGGAGGTGTCGTGCATGCGTGTGTCGTGGAACAGGTTCATATGTAGCCTAGAAGCATGGGTTCGGGCAAAACTATGCGTGGTGATGGGGTCTGGACTACGGATATTTATCGAAATTTCCCGTAGAGGCGCATGCGACCGAATAGGTCCCTATGATCATTTAATACCCTGGGGCAGTGTGGACAGGTGAGTCATGTGTGTGCCTTGGCTTCTGAATGGTTCTGCGGTCTTAGTACGATAGATTCGCAAGTGGCCGGGTGCGCTCACAACGGAGGCAGGTTGGGACTGAGTCCACACTTCTGGTGGAAGCGGCCATGAAAGCGATGCTTGGAAGGCTCGTTGTATTTTCTTCAATGTTGAGGATGGAGGTGGTTTTGTAAGACGAGAGGTGAATTGGTCGTGTTGGCACTGGACCGCGTCTGCGGAAGCCCAACGCGATCTATCCATCCTCGGAATGTCCGTCAACAGTATGGGCAGGAAGGTATACATCCGGCGCTTACAAGCCTTGCGGGCTATTCGATTGGCCTCGAAGGTGTCTACTCAAGTTCTTGCGGCAGTGCTTTGGACTTACCGGTAGTGATTTAAGACCTCCCGCGTCTCACGGTTGACTTTCAGATGCTGGGGGAGTCCTTCTTGTGCCCTTGCGAGGGCATCTTAGTTGACACTGTTTGCGAGTATCCGTAATTACTTCGCCGTAGAACAACCGCTTAGGCAAGCGGTCTTCCACAGTCTTCATGACGTGACCCCTCCGTTGCAGTATGTGTACACTAAAGACGCCGGTTGCCCAGAATCCCGTTGTCGGGAACCTTTCCCGCCATTTCGCCTTCGACATTCGAAGGCAGCTGAGGCCAACATGGTTTGCTTGACTTTCATATGCAGTCCACGCCTTCGCCCCCAAAGATAATTTTACTAGGACGAAAGTTTTGCGCGCCCTCGGTTGCCACGACGGTTCCAGACGGAGTGCGGCGACTGACTTTGAAGGTCGGACTTGTAATTTCTTCATTGATCTTGGTATTTCTTGAGGTTGTACTCCCCATGTATGCGATTTTGTCTATTGATGTGAGGCGAGTTCCGCGCACACTGACACGGGGTTCAGCATGCTTAGCGTTTGGCGCCGATTAGTGCAGAACCAGTCTTGTCTGTTGAAGAGCCAGAGATGAAGAGGTCTACACCATTGCTTGTCCTCGTCCGGTGTTGTGTTTAACACACAGTCACTCGCGAATAATAGACCGTGGACGCTGGCCTAGCATATTGTCTAAGGTGCTCGCATGCGACGGATGCCCGTAACTCCGGTAGCCGAATTCGATTCCCTACCGCTCCTCACGCTAGGCGTCCCTCATAAGCTGAATAGGGTAGGAGTTTGCATGCAACCAAGCTCAACACCGTTTGGCCCCAGTAACGCTCCGCATTGTGGGCAGTCGTTAGAGATTACCGAAATTAAATACCACTACTTTCTTTAAAATCAGTTGGCAGTGATAGGTACTGTACGAAGTTGGGGTCGCATATTGCGTCCTTACCCAGGCTTACCCGCTACTCAATGTGTCCAGGACCTTCACTAGATCTACCAGGCGGTGTGAAGGGTGGCCTTAATTTCCTGGAACTGCTCCTGTTGTTGGCGGGTAGTGAAGATAATTTTTGTGGCTCCGAGGTGCTTTGGGTACTCGCCTTACGTTTCTGGAAGAAGTCGCTGCTAGCGCGCGTTAAGGTGATTGAAAAAGACGGGCGAAAACTTCCTGCGACATTGAGAGGGGAGACGCCTCTGTAGTTACTACGGAGTTATCGGTCACCCTTAGGTTTATGTATATGCACGGTTGTGGCATCTTCGAAGTTGTGGGGGTGTCCTTGTTGTCAAAGCTATTTGAGAAACGAAGTAAGCTTCTCCTTGAGTCGTGGGCTATCGCACACTCAAACTTCAGCTGGAATTGCGTCGGTTCTTGATGTTTTTTCATATTGGACGGCTGTCCGACCCCTTTGCTTGTCCCAGTGAGGGAAAGCGGACTGATGAAGTCGTCGTTGGTGTTCACTTGAAGAAGTCAGTTGATAGCCTCTTTATATATTGTCAACGGGACGTCGTGGAAGTGCGCGACCCAGCACCCTAATATGTGACTTCTGCGTTAGAAGTGTTACTCCATCCTGGGTCAGCAGTGGTGCTGTATCCCCGACTTTAGAATCGCAGATCGTATTGATGGTCGCAAAGAAATTACTCATCACATCATAGCCGGAAGGTACCTGAATTTCATCATTTTTGCGAGTTAAATGGTGGTTCTGCATCGCCTCCAGACCCTGTTTTGCGAGGCTTTGTATCGGAAGTATGCGGCCGTGTTGCCGCTCCTTCTGTTCCTGGCATTCTGTTTCTTGTGGAGGCAATTACAGTTTCTTCTGTCTGAAAGTCTGTCTGCTTGAAGGCGTGCGCGACCGGGTTTCCATGGCGGTGATCTGGATGGTATCTCGCAACTCCTTCCACTGGGCCTTGATATTGTTATGTGTCTCCATGGCTTGAATTTTTTTCAGTTTTGAAGTCAAACAAATGCCAAAATTCAATTGGCTTCCGGCCGTATTTAATAGTATAGTGTTTAGATTGCGAATAAAGGCGAAAGTTCGAGCTCCGGGAGTATCTATAAGTGAAGAAGAAGAAGAAGAGGAGGAGGAGGAGGAAGAAGAAGAAGGAGAAGAAGAAGAAGAGGAAGAAGAAGAAGGAGAAGAAGAGGAAGAAAAAGAAGAAGAAGAAGAAGAAGAAGAAGAAGAAGAAGAAGAAGAAGAAGAAGAAGGAGAAGAAGAAGAAGAAGAAGAAGAAGAAGAGGAAGAAGAAGAAGAAGAAGAAGAAGAAGAAGAAGAAGAAGAAGAAGAAGAAGAAGAAGAAGGGTGGTCAAGCACCGGAACAATCTGTTTAATGTTCTGAGCTTTCGATCTCATGCAAAAGTTCATCCTCAGAGGTAGTAGCAGCAACAGAACAAGATACAGTTATAGTGCATGTTAACCGACCATCGATCGACGGCGCAAAACTGGAGGCGACTGCGCACGACTCTGTACTTCGGCGCCAGATCGATAAATCTGTTGGCTGAGTTCTCATCCATGGCCCAGACTTCAACCGATTCTCGGCTTGTTTTGTTTCCGGCGTGGGCGACTACCTTGGTGGCTGCGAAGTTAAACTCATGACCCACTCGTGACCTCGTCGCACAGCTAGCTAATGTTCGTGTATGCACGATCCGAGCTTGCGTCCAGTCTGGGCAGTTTTGGCACGGGATACGACGCACTACTCCAACGTGCTCCTCAGGCTCTGGCCGGTCTTTAATTTTAAAGACCCTACTGCGCATAGTAGTTTTGGGGCAGTGTACAGTTCCAACACCTAGCTCCGCAGCAATGCGTTCGGCTGCCTCTGAAACGCCCTTGATGTATGACAGCGAATGACATATCGTTGGTGGTGTTAATGTCTGGGTCCTTTGGAGGCGACCGCGTAGGCAACGGCCTACGAATGCCTTCGGATAACCATTTTGCGCAAACTAGTCCGCGGAGATAATGGGTCTCACATATTGAGATTGACTTGCGGTTGCCCGTGGGGTTGCAGTCGGAGCCTTGTTTTAGATGCGTGTACGTCGCCGTCGTCATCGTCGTTCCTCGCATGGGGAAGCGCAGGAAGGTGGTTGGTCAGGAATGTACACTGTTCCGTGCAGGCCTGTAAGTGAAGAAGGTAATTGCCGTTTCAGCTGCCGATCTCGTCGCGACTGCGCACATCGAGTTAACTTGGTCTATGCTGACGCGGCCACTATGATCCACAAGAAAACTCAGTCTGTCCACATTCGGTATAGTTGCTAGGATAGGTTGCAGACCCTCCTAAAAGTTCCCCTTCAGGTTATCGATGCTGATCATTGAGAGAGGGAGGGGGACGTAGATGCTGATGACGGCGGTAAATTTGACTTCCAAAGGAGGCGGACGTAGCGTCATTAGTTGGATGTTGATGCCCCGAGGCATATCGAGCAGTCGTCTCATGGCGAAAGCGACTTCGGTGTCTCCTCACTCTACCTTTGGACGTCCACTTCATCAAATGTGTATCCTGCGCCGACCCCCACTTGCTACCCTTCATGGAGGCGGGTCTCAATGAGAGGGGCGACCAGAGTCGCTTTGCTTACGGGACCGTCTACCTTTGTATTGTCCAAAAGAGTACAAGCACTGAAGGATCGTTAACTGACGAGGTAACTCGGTCCACATGGGAGCATTTTAGCGGGACTAGAGGAGTGAATGTCAGGGTGCAATGGCTCCTCCCCAATGTAGTCTTCATGACATTCCAGCTGATGGGACATTCGAGCCGCCCATGGAGAAATCCCTCCTCACCTGGAGCGGGCGCAGTGCCGTGTGTGGCACGCGTAGACGGGCTGTTTGGCACTGTCAGCGACTGCCACCGCACCCACGTCCCGCCGTCTTGGCACTGTTTTATCATAGGAACTGGCCTGGTAAAGGTGGTGGGCATGCGGCAGATGCTGCGCAACTCTGCCTTATTATAAATTAATTATCGCACGAGTCACCGCTGCTGTGTCCACCATGCTATTGGGCACGTAGTGGATGTCGTCGTTTTAGCCTAGTTAGTGCATACCATGGAGAAGACATGAAGCAATAGCAGGTCGAAGGCAAAAATGTATGATTGTGCGGCGGTCAAGGATGTGAGATCAACTTAAACCACGCACAATAAGTTCGTTTCGTCTACTGTCAGAAGTCAGGGAACTGTGAGGACTAGTTTATTCTGTACACAGGGCAGGTTGCCGTAAGTTGGCGGTTTGCTTGCAACAGAGAAAAGCGTCCGTTCACGGAGAGCGTCAGTCGCGGTGTGTGTGTTGTTTATGCGGGAGTGCGTCTGGGTCAGCAGGAGGGGTGACTGGCTGAGTGGTGGTCGTGTGATTGGACAAGTTAGGGGAGGAATGAGGGCTGCATGCACAAAATGCCTCACGGGTATCAGGCCAGGGCGTTAGACGCGCGTGGGGTGATGAAAGTTTGTGAGGTCAGCCGACAGTCACTGAAGTTTGACCGGGGGTGTCTGAGTGTTAGCCGGCGGGGGTGGCTGTGTCAACAGCTGTCGCGGCCATTGTTCAACAAAACGGAGCCGGAGAAAAGGGGGACTGGAGCAGCTGCTACAATTGCCCGATTGCTTTTGTCCAGACGTCGGTCAATCACGTTAATAAGCGTCCATGACTCAATCACGAGACAGGGTGTACTTATCCCACTTTGTACGCCTCTTCTTAAGTTATATCATTGCGCTGGAAAAGGCAACTTGTTTCTCTTAAGCTAACCGTCGGACTGGTGAACTGCACATAGCACGTTTAGCGTGCACATGAGTGCCCGCCTCTTGTTTGTGAACAGTGAACCTGTGAGGTTTCCTCAGAATAAAGTTGCTGTGAATAATAATTAATATGTGAACAGAAGTCCCCGAATTAGTGTGGTTTGCAAGGTGAGGGAGTTTTTATCTCCGAACGGAATCAAATAGCCAGCCTCTCTACAATTCATGTCGGTTGCTTTTTCGTTCAGCCACAGTAGACCATCACTTAATCAAAGAACATTGAGGCCATTGTATTTTTGGTTGTATTTGTCTCAATATTTCCTGTAGTCGCATTCGAGAAAATTACTTCTACCCATTAGAATCATAAAACCTGACAATTATTGGTCGTGTGTTTATCATAGTAGGTAATCCACACACTGGATTTATCACGTTCTTTAGAGAGCCACACAGCTTAATACCTAGACAGCATTTGGCACTGTTCACACGTAAGCTTCTCCGACTGACTAAAGAAATAGGAAATTGTCTGGAGATTAAAAAGCATCACAATCTGTCCAGAGTTTGTTTTAAAATGCCTCAGCGCCTGGCCCTTTATAGCAAGAGCTGCGAGAAGCCGTTCAACCCTCTTAACTGCCGCATATTCATGTGTGTTTTACGTAACCATCGTATGTGGTCGGACAGAGGTAACGCACCTGAGGCCACGCCTGGTATCTGGATAGTGTTGATGCTTTCCTGCGAATACGTTAACAATGGAAAAGGTTTTCATGCCACTCTCGCCTCCCTCTAGAAACTACTGACAACAAACTGCCTACTCAAAACGTTTCAGTAGCAACTAATGTATATATCGTTGCTTCTTCATACGGCAGAGCACATTTGAAGTCCTTTTTCCCCTTTCATCATCCTCAGAATCGGGCGTGACCAAGGGGTAGAAGAAGGCTAACTATACACAAAGGGGAAAGTTCACGCGTCCTCCTCGAACACTGCTGAGTTTCTGAGAGATGCAGCTAAAGGAATTCGATCGCAACCGACAAGAAAACGAGCCCGTGACTCATTGGTTAGAGACGTCGGACTTCTAATTAACAGGTCGCGGGATCGAGACCTAGGTTTTTTGCACTTCAGAGTTGGGTATGACTGGCTGACGACGACCAATAAGTCAGAAAGGACCATTCCAGACTCCCTTGTCTTTGTCGGTTATAGCATTCTACACTAATGACTGTCATGTGTGCACAACAGAAGACTGGTTGTAGTCAGGACGGGAGGCGGTGCAGGTAGAGAGGCTTAGGAGACACAGCAGGTTTCATGGCATAGGGGGAATGTCATAGACCGAAAATTAGCCAAACATCACCGAGGACTTCCGAACACGCGCCAGTGAGCTTGGTCGCTCGCATGTCACCCGCCAGTGGCGTGATGTCTAAACAGTACGGCTAGCGTACAGTGTCATAACTCTGGCAGAACAAACGAACATGAAATCACTCGTTCTGCTGTGAACAGTCATTAACCTCGGTAAACCATGTTGTAGGCAGGGGAATGCGGACATCCCCCGCACTACATGTAGTTCTGCGCTAGACTTCAGAGGGGTTCCGGGGAGCTGAGTTATCATAAGGTTTAAAATTAAAGTTCAGACGGGAGAAATATAGCTCCTGAACTTCAGGGCAAGGTCCCCCGTAGTACGGCTGGAGGTCCATCTTGCCGTGTCCTACCAGATATGTTTGTGCAAACAACCTTCGCACACTTGAAAACCTCTATACCTACCCTCGTTTACTAGCTAAGGTACTTTTCAAGACGACGAACACATGGCCATTTCCAAAAATTCTAATTTTTAAAAAAATACAATGTTGGGCAAGTTAATATCAAGGACGGAATCTTGTGTTTTACAACGTCCGGAATTCACAGGCGTAGACTAATAACCCAGAGTGGATCGTGAAGTTGTCAAGCCTCCTGGTGCACGCTTGTCCCCCGTGTATGTGGGAGGATAATTTATGTGCCGCCTTTTTTCGGAAAATAACCAATTTAGGTGTGGAATGGGTGTAGCAGGAATCGTCTGCCAAATACTTTAACATTAGCGCGGCCACTCTGCGACGATTAAGTATAGTCTAGGACTAGACATAGCCGATGAAAACAACCCCAAAAAAACGGGAAAATGTCCTGTCTTGCCAGATAAACCAGAATTATCATTATCGGTTAGGTGACCGTGGGCACAGGAACTACTTGTCCCTACATCGAGAAGGATTTACGTTATCATTTTTCAACTATGAAATGCCACGCCAAGTATTCTCCTCACACACACGCACACACTTTGACGTGAAAATCCATGTAGTCTTTCATTCTCAGGTCATCCTACAAGTACAGTCTAAGCAGTCGGCCGAGTAGCTAACTTTCTCCAAAACACACCTAACTGCAAATTACGGTGAGCGTTACATCTGACGATTGCCTCTAGGCAGTAGAACGTATATTGCTACTTAAAAGAGGTCTTAGGATTCAGAAGACTACATCGCCAGTTTGCAGAACAAAACTCCTGCTTCAAGCTCGAAACTATTATTCACAGGATCTTGCTTTATAAGTATACCACGTGCAACCTCCTAACTGCTTTTGTCCTTACGATTGATCCAACCAGGATATCAGGCGACTTATTCAGCACAGTTAGCAAAAACTGCTAAAGTGCAAGAAAACCCTACATATAAAAAACCACCCAATAAAATCTGCAAGACCGTGCCCAACATTTAACAGCAGACTGCCTGCCGCAGTATATCGTCTCACGGGGAAGGCGAAAAACCGAAGATTAACTAAAGTATTTCTGCCACATCTCAGCAACTACTTTTTACGAACAACACTCTATGTACTAATTTTTGATGCCTGCATTCTTCACCAAAAATATTTTGTCCTTGCCAAATTTGTTGGCATTTGAACAGCTTCTGTTCGTACTGTGCATATGATGTCTTTGTCATTTCGACTCACTTGGGAAAATGGCGGCAATTCTGGACTCCTAATGTATGTTTGTAAAATTTTCTATATTTCGTCATCTACGTAATTCAACGTACGGCATACGCACAATATCTATCAGAATCCGGCTGGAGCTTGCTACAACCACCCTCTTCCCCTCCACTAAAAGTTTAAAACGGGATAGTAACGGCACTTTTTGGAATCTCCTGAGGAGTGAACTGTATTTGATGAAAGCCACACTCCAGGCGGATTTTCTAAAAAACTGTTTGGTCGGATGTAGTTATGTAGCCCCACTTGAGGTCAACAAACCCCCAGTCACCTCTAATACGGGACCGGTAGTAATAGGGGGTTTTTACAGGGGGGATCGGGGAACACACAGGCGACGAGGTCAAGTAGTTGTATGCAAAAAAAACTATTGGAAATGCGCGATTGCGCTTTGATTGGTTTAGAAATAGTTGCCCTAACTCCTAACCCCAATCCTAACCTCCAGTCCTAACCCTTAACTCTAACCCCTAACCCTGACTCCTAACCTCAACCCCTAGAGTATTGTGTTCATCAGGTGGGGCAACATAACCAAATCTCACACTCGCACTTTGATTATATGACATTGGATAACTCCTTATTACTTAAATCAGTAATGACTTGGGATGTTGAAGCGCGCGACTCCGGAAGGCCATCTGGTCTGCAGGACGCACCTCTCCTTAGGCGTGAAGCTTGGGAGGGTTATGTAGTCGGTCTGGCTGAGGCCCTCTAGGAGGAGGTACTCAACGGCACTGGGAGCGAACATTGTGGCAAAGTGTTTATTGGGATCGCTGGGCTTCTTCAATAAGTCCTGAAAGCACATAATTTCGACAGTCTGGTCTGCAAACGCGACAGTCGGCTTGACAGTCAGTTGGTCGAAGGGTCCCAGAATGACAGCCTTCTTCATCATAATGCTGCCTGAAGAGAGCCAAGCGGTGATGGTGTAGACGTCGTCCTTTTTCCAGCCAGGCAGAATAAACTCAAAGTTCTTCCTTACAAACGGACCACATCTCCCCCTTACCCACCTGTATGTCATTTCTCGTAGCAGCCGGCAGAGGACCCTTCAAGTAGACTTCGTCTATTTTAATCTGCCGATCGAGCTTGGTGCAGACAAATGTTAGAGTGTGGACCTGTCGAGTAGCCAATGGGGTGCCTGCAATGGGCGGATAGACGCCAGCCTCGTCAATCCTCGTGAGGGGTATGAAGGGACCTTTTAGCTTGTCGTTGTGATGCAGTCAAAGTTCTTCAGATTGGGCGAAGTTAGGTTGACCTTGTAGACGTAGCTCAGAAAACCAAGGTCATCACCCTCGGAGTAGAACATCTTCTTCTTCACAACAACCACAAAATTCTTCTTCTTAGGCAGGTCCTGAAACACATCATCCATGACGCAGGCCACGTAGAGGCTCAATGACTTCCGCTTACTAACTAGACGGCTCAGCTTCTCTAGGTCAAATGATCAACGATCCTGTTGTTCCAGGTCAACATAGAAGACGAGAGGCGCTCCAGCACTTACGGGCAGTCTCGACAACTGATCTGCACAAAACTCGTCAATAATGTGTTGATTCTCGGGGATGAACCAGCGAATAGTCTATACACCACTTTCTTGTGCTCCAACAGTGCTCATCTAGGAAAGACATGAGGAGGGGAGGCGTAAGTTGGTTCCTACTGTGAACATGTTAGGCAGGTGAGAAGTCATTATGAATGTCTTCAAAGGTGGCCCCCATGTGCGAGCATCTAACATCCGGGGATTTCAGTAAACCTGTTTATGAAGTAAGTGAATCAAACGAAATATAGTTCAATAGTTTATTAGTAGTAGGCGTTTCCTGCTTGAGGTAGGATCAAGACGCATAACTTCTGTCCATGCGGGAGGTTGGGAGTGACCACTTATGACCCATCTAATTAACTGCTGAAAATGGTGTGCGCATTGTGTCCATCGGGTGCGGCCACCACATCTTACCAACTTTTTTGCCTAAGATGGCTCCGGCAAAGTCCTAAAGATGAGTCACTGGGCACTGATCAGAAATGATTGCGTGGTTATGTGTACAGTAGTGGCCACAATTATCATTAGAGCATTATATTTTTCATACATCCAATTTTGGTCTGCACCTATAAACCTTAGTATGCACTGATCTACTCCAAGTTAGCTGTTTATTTCTGAGGAAATTAAAAGGCAACAGTCACAAATTCGTCAGTCGCCTGGTGTCGCTATCGACAACACTTGTAGAGGAGACGCCGAACTGCGGCATGTGTCCAAACTCCGCCTTCGCGGTCTGCATACTCTGTTAATATGTGCCCAGCGAACGCCGGAGGGCCTGAGACGCAAACAGCAACTGCAGAACTAAACGTAGTTGAAAAAGGAGCTGCCGATAAGGGCAAACTATATATGCATCCAGGACGGAGAACTTACAGGCAGATGTTCAGGGGGTCGACCTCCGAACAGATAAAGTAAGTGGGCTAACTCATGAAATCTCAACAGAAATTCCGAAGTGCGTTTCCGTTTCGAAAAGATTAATTAATTGGGGTTGTAAAACCAAACATCGGGCAGCACAATTTTATACTTATTCAGTTACCCCAGGACGCCGGCTCTCAAACAAACTTCTTTTTGGTTGCATCCAAAAACCATACTCCGTAAAAAATGACTACTTACGTAGCAAGCATATTTTCACTGATTTTCGATGCCATTAAAGATTCAATTACATTTAATGGAAAACATGCATAAAATGATTCATTCTTTCACACGTTCGGTAGAAAATTACGTCTTTTTCCAATTTTACACTCGAAGGACAAGTATAATTTAGTTTTATAAAACTTTTCCAATTCCCGAATGAGTGTGAACCCAACCTGACGTTACACTTGCATCCCGGGTTCCCAAACTACAAGCCGTACAATGTACGCGTACGGAAAACCACACATTTCTCTACGGTACTAAAGGGGAACCATATAGAACTCATAAAACTAAACAGTGGATTTGAGCCACAGTGTTAACTTTACAAGCCACATTGATAAATGCAGAGACATGACGTTTTATGAAGGGCCATTTCACGGTATTAAAACATCTCACAATGAGAAACTTTTTAAAAACAGAATTATACCCTTCCTTCGAGTGTAAAATTGAAAGAAGACGTAATTTTCTACTGAATGAGCAAAAAAATGAATAGTTTTAGGCATGTTTTCTATGAAATATAATTAAATCTTTAAGGGCATCGAAAATCAATGAAAAAATGCATGCTACTTAAGTAGTCCCATTTTTCAGAGTATGGTTATTGAATGCAACCGAAAAGCGGTTTTTTCAAAAACCGGCGTGCTGGGGTAACTGAATAATTATAGAATTATGCTGCACTGTCACTGGTTTTACAACCCTACCTACTTAATCTTTTCGAAACGGAAACGAATTTCGGAATTTCTGTTGAGATTTCATGAGTTAGCCCACCTACTGTAAGTCAGCGGTACGGTCGAGCAATCGGTTACGCCTACATTCTACAAGGCAATCAAACTCATGTAGAAAGTCTGAGCCAAGATATCAGCAATCAAAAAAGACCAGGGAGAAGGAAATATGGAGGCCGATGATTAATGGGGGAACAGTGAGGGAACAGTTTGCAGCCTGGGCCTGACGACTACCGTGACGGTAGGGACGGTCGGATAGAGTGGGAGGGATCACGCACATCTGGGCTCCGGTGCACAATTGGAAACGTCTACGGATTTGGCTGTCGCAGACGTAGAAGGAACGACCAGAGCCTGAGGATCCGGGAAGATTAGCTTCACTTGTCTTCGGGCTGACTTATTTCATCCGTTGTTTCTGCCTTGAGGAGAATGAAGAGTAATCGTTTAAGCGACAGGCCTTGGCAACAAACGTTATATGACACCAACAGAGGATAAGTGTGTTGAATCAAGATGAAGAAGCATACTGCACTTTCCTAGTACGTGAAGTACAGCGCGTTACTCGCGAGGAAGTCGTGAGTGTGGACTACCTCAAAGCCACTTTCCCGGACACTACTACGCCCGAGCCCTGTGTTTTTCCACTCCCTTATCCAGTATGGAACAGGAAAAGGAGTCGCGGCAAATTTCAAGGTCAAAGGAAAAGAAGGTGAGCTCCCACAATGATGTCCAGCGTACGACTGTAAAATCATAATATTTACATGAAAGAACCTCCTTTAACAAATAAAATGCCTATGATAGCTTAGACAGACCATGGTAGCAATAAGTATCAAAAGAACTGGATGACCGAAATTTTTGTGACATTCAAAAACTTCGTCTGCGTTTTTTCGAGAGGTTGAGTGTAGAAATTTCCCTGGTATATGAATGAGACCAAATGTTGCACACAGTATTGCGAGGAACCATTCAAAGATCGGTTGAGAAATAAAGCGAATGTTTGAGTAAATGCAAATGAGAAGGAAGACGTTATTCTCCCTCGAGGAGTAAACGAGAATGCTAACTTCGTGAACACACCTAATTTACTCAGGAAATGTCGTGATTGTACATTGAGTGGGTGTATGGCATATTTCTGATGATGTTATTTTGTTTCTTAAATTGATTTGAGGAGCGGAAAGCCTTTAACTAGAGCAGGGTTCTTTCCAAATCTGTTTTATGAAAGGAAAACTGGCCAATTTTAGGCGGAACCAAACGTTTCTTCATATCCGAGTAATCTCATACGCTTCACGACACAGTATAGTTTCGTGGACACCACCCGGCGATCGTGTCTTCTTCTTCTTCACCACCAGGACTCTCCACGAGATGCGCAACAGATTATAATGAAGTAGTACGAACTACCCAATAATAGTAAGTAGCAATAATTCCAAAAATACTAGGATATGATAACTTAATTACTTTCGCTGCTACTACTACTACTACTACTACTACTACTACTACTACTACTACTACTACTACTACTACTACTACGAACTTTCTGGAATTGGGATAAGAGGAAGGCTGCTGATATGGATAACAGATTTTCTTACCGGGAGATCACAAACTGTGTGCATTGAGGCCTCAAGGTCACCTCCTACCCCCGTTCTAAGTGGTGTACCCCAGGGCTCCGTCTCAGCGCCGTTGCTATTCCTGGTTTACATTAACTACTGCGTCGACGACCTGGGATGCAGCGCCATCATGTTTGCTGACGATATTAAGATGTGGAGAACCATCAGATCTGACTCAGAAAGGTATGCGCTTCAAGACAGTCTCAACCGCCTGAACAATTGGTCAGCTCGTTGGTTCCTTAATATTAATGTGGACAAATGTGTAGTCCTGAGACTCCGCACCAAAAAGACCAGTAAGGAGGATGATTCCTTTCAATACGTCCTGGGCGGTCAGCCCCTTTCAAATGCTGTGGAACAGAAAGACCTCGGCGTTCTAATGACTTCCTCACTGAAACCATCATCACAGTGTCAAAGGGCAGCCAAAAGTGCGATAAGGGTGTTATTTGTGCTGAGGCGAGGATTTGTGCAGATCGATAAAGAGCTGTTCGGAAAAACCTATCGTTCGTTCCCACTTAGAGTATGCAGTCCAGGCCTGGCGACCGTGGTTGAAGAAGGACTATTAACGACTGGAAAGAGTACAGGCGATGGCTACGAAGATGGTCATGAATCTTCATCATCTGCCTTACGAAACCAGATTGACCGAACAAATCTGCTTTCTCTCAATTACAGGCAACTGCGCGGCGACCCCATTCAAACCGGCCGGATTGTCATAGGTCATGAGTGCGCCCTAGACTTTGACGAATTCTTCGCATTGGCCGGGACTGACCGTCTGCATGGTCATCCCTTCAAACTGCAGAGGAAGCTGGCTCATTCGGACGTCCGACGGAAAGCCTTCTCTCACAGGGTCATTGAGGCATGGAACGGACTCCCTGATGCGGTGGTTCTTTCCTAAACTGTCCAATCCTTCAAGTGCACACTAGATGCTCATTTGTTGAGAAACTTCCGTACATATAACCACGATTGTTTTTGCGGCGGCAGTTTGCGCATAAATCACACTTACCGCTAACTTTTGCACTTTCCGCATTTGTTGATGTAATTGATGACTTTATTTCTGTTTGGCGATATGAATAGGGAGCTCAAGGGCGAAAGCCTCAATCCCTTAATAAACTGACTTAAAACTGACTTATTATTACCATGACGACGGCTACTACTACTCAACAGCTTGACCGTCGTTTCCGACAATGTCAACCGTGCACTACACAACTGGGGGGAGAGCAGAAGCGGTGACTTGCGCATGAATTAGTTTGTAGTGGTGGAAGCTTGTATTGCATCTACCACACTCATTCCTCCTTAGGCACATGGGCCCGGCGTCACGACAGTCAAGGACACAGGAAGCGGGAGAGAGCGCAGGTGACTGACACGGGGAACCTTGCACTTGACCGCGCGCCATCACACCGGGTAGGATTCCGCT